GTTTTGCGGATATAATTGCTTATTTCCGTACTTTTTAATTATTTCTTAGTCATTTAATTGACCTGCAACACATATTTCTTTTTTATTTAATGTATATTGAGAAAGTGGGCTAAAACAATACCTTAATTTCACGTACATAATGAGTAAAAAAGGTAAAAGGAAAGTAATTCGGACATGAAAATAAAAACTAATATCAGTTTTACAGAAGAATAAAAGCAAAATTTTATAATTAGGTTTAAGAAATAAGGATTTTGTTATTGAGAAACCATCAGAATATGATCGAGAATTTAGTGAAAAAAAAATTACTCTGGACAATTTCGTTTGACATTCTAAATTGTTATCTGCATAAGATGACATAATTTGTCACAAGATTAGTATATCTCGTATAGCATTAATGATACATGGTATGACAAGATTATGTACTTTTATTTGACTGGTACAAAGAAAAATTAATTAATAAGGAAAAAACAATTTCACGCATGATGGTTTAAGTTTTATTGCTATGCAGACAACACTTTTTTCCAACAATTCTGTTACTTTTTTTTTTTTTTTTCTCTTAAACAACAACAAATTAGGTCTGAGTTTTGATCTCGCTGTTACTATTTTATCAACATAAAATATTCTTTTTGCCTAGATACATTATGATTAACTGGGATTAAATTCAATTTGGTTCTTATAATTTTATTAATACACTAATGATTTAAATTTTTATATTTATTGAATCAAACATTATAGGATGGTTATTACTAATTTATAATATATCTACATAGTTGCAAACTTTATATCTTCATTAATATTTGAAGTAGTGACATTCAAATAAACTATACAAACTTTAATTATTAGATTTCTTTATTAGTAATGTAATAATCAATTCAATTACGATGATTTAACTTTTTTTATCCTTTTGTATTTAGCCTTCTAAAACTAGCTCCATATCAAACAAAGTGATTTTTTTTTTTTAAAAAAAAAGAAACCTTTGTCCAAAAACTAAAAGAAAAAAAAAAAGATGACAAAAATATCAAAAGGGTAGGACTGATATCAGTAAAAAAAAATTGATTGAAACTGTAATAAAGTTAAAATATATGGGTGAACTTGTGATTCTTAATTAGTAAGACTATATGAAAAAAGAAATAATCAAAGGATGAATTTAGTAATCAATATATGTTTCGTATACATCAAAGGTTTACAATAATCCTCTTGTTATACGAGAAGAATTCTGATTTTGATGAAGGATTGAAGATTTTAAAAATGTTAATAATTGAAGTAACTAAACTATAATAAGTTATCATCCTTATCTTTGAGCTATCGGATTCATTTGAACTTGAATTTTCTGAGATTATAGATTCTTTAAATTAAATTCAACAACATTTGAATTTGTCACTCTATACTTTATGAGATATAAACTAAATTAATAGAGGAACAAAAACAACAAAGTGGAGTGCATGTACCTTTAGAGGCATGCCAAATTCCAATTGCATAATATTCCAAGAGATGCACATTATAATCCAAGATCAATAGTCCCAAACAATACCTCAAAATCCATTAACAGAGGTGGATGCATGTGCTAGTGGACATGATTGATTATAAGATTTGAGTAATGTTGATGATCGCTAGTTATGGTGTTAGGTCTAGTTTCAATTAGAGTGACATTGGCTTGCGTTTGATCATGGAGTTTGGGTTCACTAAATTAGTGATTTACTTTTTATAAAAGTATAATTTTATATAAATATTCGTGATTTTAATGTCAATAAGTATTATTTATAATCCAAAATCTTTTATGTGAAATTAATAGCGAATTGTTTTAATATTATGTACCTATCAATTTATAAAAGTCACTTTTAAGATCGATATTAAATACATATTTAATTAATAAAATATAATTATTGTGGCAATACATGTTCAAGGAGAAGTCAATAAAGTTGTAAAAGAAGCCACAATCAATGAATAAGCATTTGAATATATCAAATCATGTATGGGATGATTAGTTAAGGTCACATAGAGTCTTACATAACTTACTCATATGATTTATATAACTCATAACATTATTTAGTTTCTGAATATGAGAAAATTGAGTGGCTATGCAAGTATCAATCATGAATAAATAGGTATAATGGAATTGAAAATATTTTTCTTGATTTCCTATAATCAAAACTAATTTGTAGATAATCTATTCATAATTAGCATGAAAAACAACCAAGGATCATATGCAAAACAAGATCAAAGTATTATTTATGATAGAAAACATAATTTTATTAGTGTTTATATTTATACTTTGTAATTAATCTTAGGGTTCTTCATGTTTCAAATACAAATTGTTTGCTTCAAGCCTTTTGATCAAGTTTGGGAAGCCTCCAAAATCTATTCTCTAAGTTGTGAATCATCTTAAGGAAAACTCCTTAAGGTCAACTCAAGATAAAGTTTCTTGAGGAAAAAAAATTTATTGTACTTATTTATTTATTTTTTTAATACTTTTTTATCATGGGCTTAAACTAAATATTATAAAAAAAAATTAGCAATTTACTAATTTTATACATTGTTTTAAGTTGTACACTTGTTTGATCTAATCAAATGGATAAGACTTTTTTTTCTTGTTTGAGATAAAGTAAGAACTTTGTTAAACATGTTCATACATAATTTAGAAGAGAAATACAAATTTTTGCTGGAAAAATTCTCACAAGACTTTTGAAAATTTTACAAAAGTCTACTACTTATATGATAGGAGGAATTACTAGCCATGAAGAGCAATGCTCTTATTTTATACACATATGAAGAATATAGAAACTAAATGGACTTGATGTAACACCCCAATTATTATTATTATTATTAGTATTATTTTATTTTAAATTTTTTTGTAATTTTTATATGAATATAATGATTTATTATGTAATAATATATGGTTTTAATTTAGTTTGATTTAATTAAATAGAAATAATAATAATAAAAGGGGGTAAAATTATTTTAGGGATTTAATTAAAAATAATTTTGAAAAAAAAAAGGGTGAAAATTTAGGTTCTGTGGGTGTTTTTGAAAAGAAAATTAAAAATCGGGGGTTAAAATGCAATTTAGAAAAATTGCGCTACATCAGCAGCCCGGTCAGCAGCCCCAGCCAACCAGGACACACCGCGTGGAAGAGACGCTGATGCGGGAGGCCACGCGGAAGGAAGCCAGGTGGGCAATTTGCGTGCGCGCGATCGAACAGCTGAGATCCGTTCCTGCGCGCACGGACAGCCCAGATTGCATGTGCATGGACGGTCCTTATTGAATCGCGCACGGACAGCCCAGATTCATTTCCTATTTAATTGCAATCGGACGGTCCAAATTAAATTGCGATGGACGGCTCAGATTAAAAGCGGATGATTATAAATAATCTCATCTGCACCCTAACCCTAACCCTAGCCGCCAGAACCCCTCGCCGGAGAAGACAGCCCAGCCACCGGGGAGCCGACCGCTGCCACCCGCTGCCGCACTAGAGCAATTTTCGGCCACCAAACGAGGTAAAAATTTTCCACTTAGCTCAGAATTCGATGCTGAACCCACATATGGCCAAATCGGAGCAAAAACACCGGTCAAATCAGACATATTTCTTTGTCAGTTCCTGTTTGATTTATTTTACAGTCTAAATGCAGTATAGTATCTGATTTATTTATTTTATGGTTTTCAATGCATGAATCACTGTTTACTTCATTATAGCTTGATTTTGTGAATCCGATGATATGCTTGCCTTGTTGGATACTCGTTACTTGTTTAAGTATTCATGTTTATGTGAGAAACGGAAAACTAAGAAAAAAATAGAAAAAGTATGTGAATTGATAAATGGATAAGTTCACAGCCTCACTAGATATCATAGGAGATGGTGGACGGACCGGATCCATAAAGAACCCTACCAGGAACGTGGTCTCATACCGGACGGGGTATAGAGATTTTAAATATTTTGACGCTCATACCAGACGGGGTATGGGGACGGCTTGCTTCACTCTCATACCAGACAAGATATTTACGTTTATTGTTTGGCACCCATACCGGACGGGGTATGGGGACGACCCTGGAAATTAAGTTTGTCAAGGGAATGGTTCACGGGTAGCGGGGACCCCTATGGATCCCCACGGATACTAGTAGGCTCATAAAAAGGGAGCAACTGTTGTTTGATGATTGAAATATAAAAGTATGACATATACCATATTACAGATTATGTATAAACCTATGATATCTATGATGTTATTGTTTCCATGGGTCGTTTTTATAAATTCTACTGAGGTAAGTGGACCGTAAATGATTTGATTACTGATAAATAAATTTACTTAAAACTTGTGCTCCATAAATTTACGGTAAATGATTTGATTATTTTTTTTGTGTAATATTTATATGAATATAATGATCTATTATGTAATAATATATGGTTTTAATTTAGTTTGATTTAATTAAATAGAAATAATAATAATAATAAAAGGGGTAAAATTATTCTAGGAATTTAATTGAAAAAAAAAATTGGAAAAATTGAGTGAAAATTTGGGTTCTGGGAGTGTTTTTGAAAAGAAAATTGAAAACCGGATGTCAAAAAATAATTTAGAAAAATTACGCCATGTCAGCAGCCCCAACCAACCAGGACACGCTGCGTGGCAGAGACGCTGACGTGGGAGGTCACGCAGAAGGGAGCCACGTGGGCGATCCGCGTGCGCGCGATCGAACAGTTGAGATTCGTTCTCGTTCGCACAGACGGCCCAGATCAAAAATGCGTACGAACGGCCCAGATTGCACGCGCACAGACGGTCCAGATTGAATCGTGCACGGATGGCCCAGATTGCATCGCGATGAACGGTTCAGATTCATTTCCTATTTAATCGTGATCGGACAGTCCATATTAAATCGCGATGGACGGCTCATATTAAAAGCAGATGG